AAATGGCTATGTTTTTTATATATAGTTTTACAAATTAGATTAATTTTGTTTGGGATATGAATTGGTCATAATTTTGGGGGTTTTTCTGCATTTCAGGCAGCAGAAAATTCCAACATCTAAAACCACAGTTGAAGTAATAGGTGTTTAGAGGGTGAAGCTAGAATAACACACTCCAGAGTCTGTCTGGGGGAGTGACTCCTAACTTACCAAACAGATATGAATGGAGAATTTGATGAGAGAACAGGCATGTGTGAAAGTTTTTGTGTTCACAGTGTAAATGGAGTATCCTGACAAATCCTCTTTGCTTCTCTGACAGGTGATGTTCTGTAATCCTGTCATTGAGAGAAAGCCAAAACTGCAGCGACAGAAACGCATTTTCCCCAAACAGAAAGGTAATCTGCTAGACAGCTGACTGCTTACTATGTAGCGTGTGTAGGTGAGGGCAGGGTTTTGCACAAGCAGGCTGGCATGCAATCCTATCTCATTAAATTTGGGAGACATTAAAATGCTCGCTAATTACTGTAAGTAGGTGGGCTTTATTAGAATGTGAAAGTTTGTTCAGTCGCAAAAAGTGCAGGCAGCCTGGCTGCAGCATGGTGTGAAATGTGATATTGTTGCGGTGTTTCTATTCACAATTAACATTGTTAGGAAAATATAATTAGTAGTTATTTAACAGACTTCTCAGCAAGGTCCAGGACTCAAGCTGTACTAATTTAATCAGCAATTGGTTCAACCAGGTATTGGAAGGTTTTCTGGAAAACTCAGAATTATGGAAGACTGTAGCACAAACAGGTTACTGATTGTCTGTCAGGTCTTTAGAGCTGGCATCTCAGATCCACAGTTTAGGGACTGGAATAACTTACATTCTTTCTTTGTCTGCAAAATCTTTCTTGTGAAGCTGAATAAGGTAAGACTTTAGGTACTGAAGACTCCTGGCAGTGAGGATAAATGAGATTTTTGTATTTATGTTCTTCAGGAAGTAGTAAAAATAATGACAATATCCCAAATGTTTTACTCTTTTTATGATATTTTCAGAAACTTGCTGTTAACAGGCTGCATGATTAAAATGCAGTGTTGAAATAGAGGAAAAGCTGACTTAAAATAAATTCTTAATGTTTTATGCAGTTTCTGCTTGAGGATTGGTATGATATTATATGAATCTGAATGTAGGTGAAGTAGTATATCTGTCTCATCTTCATTATTAAACTTTCTTTCCTAAAAACAAGCCCATTCTCCCTACGATGGGCTACCTTTTTGAGTAACCCACGGGTGTTTGGGTGGAAATTATAATTTAACAGTACATTAGATTGTAATTTGTGTTGTAATCTCACTGGTGTTTTGACTCTGACTCCTCCAGGGAAGGAATTTCTCCGAGCTCCTCAAATGAACATAAATGTTGCTGCTTGGGGTCGCCTGATGATGAGTTTCCTTCCTCCGTGTAGTTCCATGAGCACGCTAAGTCCCCCACTTCATGACCCCATTCACACAGACTTCTCTCCAGTTCCCCCACAAAGTCATGTTGATTCAGTGTCCAAACTGAGTTGGTAAGTTGTGTTCTAAGTGTTGCTGGGTGGCACGCTGGAACAGGTGTAGGATAGATCTTAAAATTAAGTTGCACCTTACTAACACGGAGGAGGATACTGATGTGAAAATTTTATCTGTGGAACTTAATTCAGGATTTTAAGAAGAGCCAATGCTGCCTGAAACGGTGTGGTTTCAGTGGGGTGTTCAATATGCTGTGGCTAGCTCTGATTTATTGTTAGCAGTTAGACTGATTTCCAGAATTGCTGTCCTAACAAGCAGTGTGTTCCAGAGCCAGAGGAACTTCAGCAGCTTTCCTTTGCTCTGCAGTGAGAACTTTGGCTATAAAAGTGGTGATATGTAAACACTATGATACAGTAAAAAAAACAAAAGCAGATTTTCGAAAGTTATTTTATATGCACAAAAAGATGTACTGGTTCTACACTGTAAAGGAAAGAAAATTCCACTTATTAAATGTCTTAACTAGTATTGTAACTGAACTTTATGCAAGGTCACAATGTGATTGTTGTGAAAACGACTCTTCTTTCAGGAGATTACATGTGCCCCTCCAACCACTAGCATAATGTAGCATTTAGAAGGTACATAGCTAAGCTTTTAAATATGCTGTAGAAGAAAATTCTCTAAATAATAATTTTCTAAAATTGTCTGAATTAATTTTTAGATACTTAGTCATTCTCTAAAAGAGTATTCCCACTGATTCACAAGACCTAGGAAAAAAAAAATCAACTACTGCGTTGCTATTAAAATCAAGACTTCCTTTAAATTCTTGATCATAGTGACTTATTTCTACAAATTGTGTTTCAGAGCTAGTACTGAAACATGACTCTAACCATCAACAACATAATAGCACATTTTCTTTTTATTCATTTCAGAGAGCGTATGTCTTGTTGATACTTCACAGACTTGTGGTGTGAGTTCAGTTGTCCAGTGTATTGGACTTTGCTTATATAGCAAAGGTGATCCAAAGGTGTCTGTGTATCGTGTTCTGCCCTAAGGCAATCTCCTTCAATTTTGTCTTACAAATGCAGTGACTTTCCTGTGGCTAAGCTTACATTTGCTGATGAAGCACCACCCAAGCCTCCACGACTTTTTTTGATGGCCAACTCCAAAGAATCAACACCGCCTCCTGCAGATTCTCCGGTAATAGGGAGACTAATGGGGCTAATAGGGAGACTTTTCTTTGTTGGTGTGCTTTCGAGCCTGATTCTTCCTGTTTGTTTATTACTGGATAAATTAACTATACTTTAGGCGGGTGCCTCCTCATTAGTTGGCTCATCTCCAGGGATTTGGAATCCAGTGAACTATTTTGGCATGGAGTTTTCACGAAAGTGTTGTACCTCCTGTTTTGCCTTCCCTTTTCCTGTTTGTTTTGCCTTCCCTTTTCCTGTTTGTTTTGCCTTCCCTTTTCCTGTTTGTTTTGCCTTCCCTTTTCCTGTTTGTTTTGCCTTTCTTCTTTTTTTAAATTAGAAGTTCCTTTTCTTGGAGAAGCAAAATGGGAGGTAGGTCAGCATTGGGAGTTCAGGCCAAGAATACAGAACAGGTGACTACACAGATAAAGCAGGGAAGGAAGGTCAGCAGGCTTTTAGGACCCAATTAAGTTCTCTGTCATTAAAGAAACCGGGCAAAACCAAGAAGAGCTCTACTTCTCTGACAGGAAGGAGCAGGAAAATTGTTTTGAGTGGTGCAATGGTTAATGACCTGTGTTCTACCACATCTTACCCTTTCTCATTTGGCTTTGGAGGAAACTGCATTCTTTGAGCATTGTGACTCTTTTTAGGACATGAGATACCTTTTTTCTAGAAAGGAAATGTTTTTTCCTAGACTTTTAAAAGCACTTATTTTAAAAGATTTGACACTATCAAAAAATATTGTACATGGGAATAGTTTTGTGTGACTATAGACAATCTGTTTTCATGCTGTTTCCCTCCAAGCACAGGTGATGACCAACTGCAAGAAGTTATCTGTAGTTATGTTGGATCATAACAGAGGAGAAAATTTGGATGCGGGTGTTCAGGTCAGACTTGCTGATTTCAGAGGATGATCCACTGTAATTTTCTTTCTGTTCCTAGTGTCTGAAGAGGCTGCATGTTGAGAAGTCTTGTGGCTCTGCACTAACAGAATTTCCAATCCCAGCATCTCCAAGGTAATTATGGACAGCATGGTCTGTCTTGGGTCACAGATTAAAGAGGTACTGGGCTGCAATTTTTGAGCATGCAGTCTAAAATTCTGCTCAAGGTACGCTTTAGTTTCTCAGGAGCAGACTCTTAGTGCTGAATGTAGACAATACTGTGAAAAGTCTTCTCCCAAATTCACTTGTCCAAATGTCTGCTGCGCCTTATCTGCTTATTAACCCCAATACTTAGCCTGTTGATAGGCTGTACACTACAATATAATAGATGACTTTAGTAGAAGGTGAAGTTGCTTAACTGTTTTCAAGTGCTTCCTTGTGTTTGAAGTTTTATGGTGTAGTACTTGCCTGCATTCTAAGTAACACATTTTGGAAACACTTCTAGCATCCCTCACACTTCTGTTTCTATTGATACTCAAGATACACTGTCTTTCATTACATAGGGAGATATAAAACAGCAAGTTGTTTATAGTCTGACAGTTACATGTACGCAATTTGTATGTAGCAAGGATATACAGTAGTAAGTATAGCAAAAAAGGACAATTAAAAAAAAAAAAAAAGTTGAACAAATACTGACCAAAAAAGCACAAATAGCAAAATCTATCTAAGCTGATCTTGCAGGTCAGATCATAGAATTATGTTCATAACTTCATCATCGCTTTTGAGGGGTCCCATATTCAAACGCTGTAGTCAGGATGCAGTCAGGCACCCACCTGCCTTCTCACTGAGAAGGCTGAGGAGGGGGTTGAGTCCTTCATGAGTAGATACTTAGCCCTTCATTTCACTCAGTGGAGGAGTATGGAGTGTCTGCTGTCATTTAAAGATGATTCTGGACTAAAGCATTTAGAGTGTGGGTTTTTGGTTGGGTTTTTTTTTAATTCTTTCCAAGCAATTCTGCAGCCTTCGTTTCCTTGGTAACACCTTGTGGCTGACATAACATTCTGTAGCATCTTTTTATTCAGCTACTTATTTTCCAGCAACATTTTATGTCTGTTGTCTCACCGTGTTTCACTTCCAATTACTGTTCAAGAACTTCTTATGCCCTTGTCCTACTTGTACTATACACATTCATGTCTGATTAACACAATTGCTGTTCAGTCTGCTGAAAAGATTTTAGGGAAAATTGCATTTTGCTGTCCCAAGGATGGGGTTGAAAGGGAACTAACCCTGTTATGGGAAGTAACAGAGAGAGCAAGCAAGGCTTTGGAGAGTCAGAATCATTGCTCGTGTTGCCAGTAGAGATGGAAATCAGACTGCTGCCACTGGAAGCAGTTTCCTTACCTTATTGTTACCTGCTCCTTTTTTGGAGTGGCAGAACAACAGCAGCAAGCCTAAGTTTTCAGGATCTTTTGGGTATTGTCCCAGCAATTCTTCTTTGTTTGTTTGCAGGAAAAGGACAGTTCAGCTTGAGGATTTTCACTGCATAGCCATGCTGGGACGTGGCCACTTTGGGAAGGTAGTGTATAAGTGTACACTTTGTGGAGGAGGGCAGTAGGACTGTGGTTGTTAAGATGGGTCTCTGCCTCAGAGTCTGAATAGAAACACTGCCGTACCAAAGAGATTTGTTGCAGTGCAGATATAGAAAACAACCCCAACTATATAAACAGCTGATAATTCCTGTTAACAGTCAAAATTCCTGAAGATTTGTGGCTTCAAAGCCTGGAGAAAACCATCCAGGGAGTGCTAAGTCATTTCATAAAGCACATCATTACCGTTCCTTTCATTATCGTTGTGATCACTAGTGGAATAGCTCCATTCTCAAATATTGTGTGTGTAGTTGCATGCTGTGAGAGCTCTGAGGTGCTCATAAAGTGCTCGACCATCTGTGATACTACTGTTTGTGAAAAGAATATAACTTACACTGACATCCTTCTGGACTGTGTGCTGCAGCACAAGGAGCAGGAAATAATGTTCTCCATTTCTGGAGTTACTTGAGCTTGGTTTTGAGAATAACTGTCTGGAATGGATGGAAATCATTTGTGTCAATGGGAGTCAAAGTAATCCAATAAGGAAATAACAGATTTGTTTGAAGTACAGGTTTTCTGTTGTCTTTCAGGTACTGCTGGCCCAATATAAGGCAACTGGGAAGCTGTATGCTATCAAAGCCTTGAAGAAAAAAGATATTATTAGGAGAGATGAAATTGATAGGTGAGCTTTGTTTAGAGATGGTACCATCTATTGCCAGAGGCTACATTAACACACCTGTAATCAAATGTCGGTAGGTATGATGTGTACTGGTCACAGTATTATTAAGGTTAAATGTGACCTGAAGGCTTGGGTAACTAAAGTAAGGAACTTTATAACATCACTGCTTTCTAGCTTCTGGTGGAATAACACCTGAAGAACACTCTAAAACTCAAGGTTTGGAGGTATGTAAGATAAATATGTATTAGCCCTCACTTTTTTTTTTTCTGTAACTTGAGATGTAAAGATTTTCTTTTTCATCTTGTTTTTCTCAAAACAGGCTTTTCTGACAAGTTTTAACATTGACGTTTTCTTTCTTTGTATCCTGGCAGCTTGAACTGTGAGAAGCGAATATTTGAAGTGGTCAATTCTTCTGATCATCCATTCCTTGTGAACATGTTTGCATGCTTCCAGACACCTCATCATGCTTGTTTTGTGATGGAATATACCCCGGGTGGTGATCTTATGATGCGCATACATGAAGATGTCTTTCCGGAGCATGTAGCACAGTGAGTTAGAATTAGCCTAGTTTCCAGGCACTAAAAATTTTTAACTTGATTGTCATAGATATTTCCTGATAACTATTTCTCTCTTTTAGGTTTTATACAGCCTGCGTAGTCTTGGGGCTCCAGTTCTTGCATGAGAAGAAAATTGTTTATAGGTAATGCAGCAAAGAATCAAGTATAAGACAGTTCAGCAACTTGAAAGTTTATTTTTCCTGTAGCTATATGTCTGGAGCTCACTATCTTGCTAGGGTTTCTAATCTTTCTGTCTGTCTTTATTTTCCTCTTGCCTGTTGCTATCAGCATGTTCATCGTGCTTACAGTAAAGAAAGTCATCTAGAAGCTATTCATCTGATGTGTTGCAGGTGATTAATCCTCTGTGACATGTCAATAACTTCGGGGGGGCACCTGTAAGTCACTACTTTCTTTTTTTTACTGTGATAGTCAAGTAATTTGTCATGCTGTTGTGGGATGCTCTTTTCCAGATGAATAAGCCCCACCCAGCTCTAAGCTGCTTTGTGAGCCTTTCATTAAGAGGAAAATGTCAATAAATTAAGGGGAATTTTCCAAATAATATGTTATTTAAACCAAATGTAGACTTTACTCAATTTAGATTTTATTCTCTTTATTCATATCTAGTTTCTGCCTCTTGCAAAAAAAGATGTTGGATGGCAATCCTCGAACTTCATCCACCATTTTCTTTCCTCTCCTTTGCCTGCAGGGACCTGAAATTGGATAATCTGCTTTTAGATGCTGAAGGGTTTGTGAAGATCGCAGATTTTGGGTTGTGTAAAGAAGGTGAGTGACTTCGGTGAAGCCAAAATTGAACCATCAGAACCAGTTTGGGATCATAGAATCATAGAATGGTTTAGGTTGAAAGGGACCTTGAAGATCATCGACTTTCAACCCAAATACAGGTACTGAGGTGGCTGTGTTTAACTTGTATTCAGCTCCATCTTAAAAATAAAACAAAACCCACCAAAACCAAAACACACACACCCTAACAAACCAAACAACAAAAAACCCTCACCTGTCTGGCCATGATGAACTTGGAAAGAGTACTTTGTCCTTTAATCGTCAGGAAACCTGTGAAGGAGTTTACAGTGTGCTCATTTGCTCAAAGGAGCCAGAATATAGGATACTACAAAACACGTGCTTGAGTAAATGAGCAATGGAATGTTCAGGAAGTGTCCATGGTTTTACTGTTTAAGTGTTGCCTATATATTTCTTATTTGGAGTTTTTAGAGGCCTCATGTTTCATACTTCCTTATTGGCATTTAGAATCATTAATGACAGCCCTTGCCCAGTTAAAAGCATTAGATTATCAAGTGATAATCTATGGCTTTCAGAAGGTGAGACTGCATGTGATCCATTTAGTAATGTGTGCTGGATTTTGCAAGTGTTCTTTTCCTACAGGAATAGGTTTTGGAGACCGCACAAACACCTTCTGCGGCACTCCTGAATTTCTGGCTCCAGAAGTCCTGACGGACATTTCATACACTCGGGCAGTAGACTGGTGGGGACTGGGTGTTCTCATTTATGAGATGCTTGTTGGTGAGGTAAGACCACCTTTCTCTCAGAGGATCTCACTAAGCAGTCTTGAGGAGAGTAGTACCCGACCACCTGAGATAAAATTTTGCTGAATGTAGCCAACTATTTATTAGTACTTAATTTAAATTTTTCTCGTTCATAGTGCCTGGCAAACACTAATTAATCCGTACAACTCCCTGCTATTCTCATCCCTATTTAATAGTGAGGAATGGGTGCTATGTGGATTAAATAATAAAATGTCACAATTGCAGTCACCATTCCCTGGAGATGATGAGGAAGAAGTCTTTGACAGTATTGTCAACGATGAAGTCCGATATCCACGATTCCTTTCATCTGAGGCACTTTCTATAATCCGTAAGGTAATGGGATTGATGGGTGTCTGGGAGCCTGAGGAATTTGCATTTACTGTGTAAGTGGATCCAGAGGGACTCTATTAGGATGGGATAGCATTTGTGTGTGTAAACTGGAGCTGCCTACACAGACTAAGGAAACATTTTAAATTTACACATATTTTTCCTTTCTTTCTCTTTACATAAATGCTATTCTTGTGTCTGAGGATGACTAAGCAGGCCTCTTACTGAGGTCTGTTGCTGCTAACTCTGAAATGGGAGAAGTGTTTGTTCAAGTGCAGGAATGTCAGAATCATTCAGTGGAGATGGCTTGATTCAGTTTTTGAATGTGACCCATTAGACACAGGTGCACAACTAAGATGAGACGCTTCATGTAGTTTATAGCAGGTATCTTATTGATGTTGGCAAGTTGTTTACAAGGAACTAGGTCTGAGCTATTGCTAGCAGATTATAACCTTGCTGCAAAGTGAGAATGAGAAGATAGTGACGGGTCAGTCCATCTCCTTCTTTTTGTTTTTCTTTCTGGAATGTTATTTCTGTCCATCTTTGTTCCAGTTGTTTAATTTTGAACTTTGAAATTTGGTATTTGGTATTGCCCGCAGCTTCTTCGGAAATGCCCAGAGCGTAGACTGGGAGCAGGGGAAAAAGATGCAGAAGAGATTAAAATCCAGGCCTTTTTTAAGGTAGGAACGCACCTTATCCCTCCCCCTCATCTCTTGTGTTTGAGCTGCAAGTGATTTGCTTTCTGTTGGTATTGAGGCACAGTTCTGTTAGTTTTCAGTGAGATCTTAGTGGTAGTTTCTGTTGCACCTCATGCTGTATTCAGGAATACGTGTTTTGATTCATGTTTAAAATAACATCCTCCAAGTGTGTTTTCTGGGATCTGTAAGCTTCCAGAGCCAGTTTGTTATTTCTGCTGGTGCTGCTTCTGTGTACAAATATACCTACTTTTTGAGCCATCAACAAACACCCCTGTTTAAATCAAACTGCAGCAGTCAAAGATACTGTCCAGTGATGACAGTGATTTCCAGTCAATTTGATGGCACCTGCACTTGCAGGATATGCATGAATCCTGAGAGAAATTGAGGTTAAAGACACATTTGCTTTAGGTCAAGGGTTCCCGACAAAGGGTTACCATTCCTCCTTGTCATTACCCGTCTGCCAGAAGTTATTAGACTTGTAGCCCCTGGCTGGCTTTGCACTGGAGTAAGAAAAGAATTAAGATGTCAGCAGAAATTGCTGGGAAGTCCACAGATCCACCTGACCACAACTGTGCTTTAGTTTTGTCCCTCCTAAATATAGTTTGAGCTGTAACTTTGTTGGTGTTCTGAAGAACAGCCTTAGACTGTAAGGAATCTCTGTACTACCTGGCCTACACCCGCTATGCTGGCATTTTTTCAATTTTCTCTCTCTCTCTCTCTCTTAATAAGACATGTTGCAAGGGAGGCTGCAATCCTTCCTCTTACTTTCATGTTTCATAAATAATCTTAATGTCTATCTCACATGTTCGCTCCCTTCTCTTACAGGAAATTGATTGGGATGCCTTGTTTGCCAGAACTCTGAAGCCCCCTTTTGTGCCCACTTTAAGAGATCCCACTGACATTAGCAATTTTGATGAGGAGTTTACATCACAAAAGCCGATCCTTACTCCTCCAGAGGAGGTTGCTCTCCTAACCCGTAAGGAGCAGACTGTCTTCAAGGACTTTGACTTTGTCTCACAACACCTTTTAAATGTTTGATTCCTGTGCTATAAGAAACATGAACGGATTGTTACCACCTTGAAAGCATGTAGAGAGGACTTGGCATGGGCAATGGAAAAGTCAACAGAATTTGTAGCACTGGTAGTGTTGATGACCCCAGGAAGAGAGTGCCCTGCAAGTTAAGTTAACCTACTGTGGGTTTTTTCAGCCTCATTTGTTGGAAGGATACTGGATGTCAGTTATCTTTAAGGAGTAATTAATGTTTGATTGGATATAAATTCTGCTGCCATTGAATATAGATGGAAATTGGGAATTTAAGCTGGACTTAATTTAATGAAATCAAATCACCTTTGCAACCCAGGTTACTCTTTGCAGAAAGACTAAGTAAGTAGCACAGCTTTTTAAAGTTGCATTGTAGTACGGGAATGGCCGCTTCTCACCTATTTTCTAGAGAAGATATGCAGCATTCCCTCTTTGTAATCATTTTATGCCCATTCCCATTCATAATTATGTATGCCAGAGAATGAATGTATTTTAACCCAACCAAGACAATGTTTGGGTTTCATAATGATCCAAGTAATATATCTTAAGGAGTTTCTTTCTACTTCTTTGAGGATGCTAAATGTCAGTTATTGTTTTTAATGATATGAAAAAGCTACAGCTTTGCACACGCTAGGGTTTTTTTAAAAATAAAGATACCTTTTCTTATAATGGAATTTCAGCTTTTCATCTCCTTGGTGTTAGCTGAATGTTTCATATGAGGGCTAACCATATTCTGCTCAACGGGCAGGATTTTATTTTTCTCTCTAAATATCAATAGTAATATTTTCTCCCTTCCCTCCTTCTCACTGAAGTTGTCTGTGTACATATTGCATGGTGTCATCAGCTGTCACATACAAATGACTGCAGTCAAGTTGTGTCTTCACAGATTTTTTTCAATGTGTATATCCTGAATCTTTTTTGGGATAGTTAAATAATAATAGCGTTAATACTGGAAACTCAGTAAGTTAAAGGTGATTTCATCTGCCTGGTAGCATATCTTCTAATTATACTTGATAATTTTTTTTCTCTTAAATTCATGTTAACTTGTTAGGGAAAAAAAGGATCGATATCCAGAAATGAAGCATCACACCAACAACATTAGGGACACACACCTATTACTCTTTCAATTTGTCTTCAGCAGAGGTAGATAGAAGTTGAACTAACACAATTGTGCTATATCTGGAGATAAGGTTTGGGTGCAGCTAGTGAGCTGTCATTATTAAATCAAGGCTGGTCTACGTGCTTCAGAATTCAGAGAGGTAAGAGCTATGTTTGTGCAAAACAGAAATAATTCATCCTGGATCTAGATTTCATATTTTCAAGTACAATGGCTTCTGAAATTCCCGCTTACAAATATCCTTGCAACCTCCTGCTCTGCCTTGCTGAGTAATGCCCAATTTAAAGCAGGATACACATTTTCCTCACCCTTGTTTGAATAGTAACGGTTGGCTTGCTGTTGGCCCCTACAGTGTGTTTTATGACCTTTCCTAAGGTCAAGGCTTCTGTAAAGCGGTAAGTAGCACAGTGGATTGTTAGCACAGGTCAAACCTCGAATTTGGGTTCAAAGAGAGCATAAAGAACAAAAAAGGCATGTTTAATCTTTTAATTTATAGCTTATAGTAAAGTAAAAAGACTGTAAATTACCATCCTGGTGCATTTTAAAAAGAATTCCCAAACAGAGCAAAACTGTGTGTTTTGAACTGTAGTACCTGCTGACAAATTTTTATTTGATACCTGAAGAACCAGAAATTGTTAAGTAGCAAACGAGCCATACTTTAGCAGACACTGCACTGACACAAACAAACTGCAGAATCCTTTCTGATGGTATACAGTTGTTATGAAAAAAAATCTTAAGTGTTCTGATATCCCTCTGATAAGAGTTTCTGCCCTGAACAAACACAGATTACAAACTCTGGAGTTGGTCAAAAAAGGGATCCTTCTGCTGTTTTTTAAACTGCTTTTGGACTATGGTGCTGTATTAGTAACTACACGGTCCTTCTGTGAGTGCTTATCAACTTTAAACCCTGAGTGCATCCTACCAGCTTGTCAGATGTGCTCTTGAGCTGGTGTTAATTCCTGAGCCAAGGCAATTAAGGCACAAAATAACTATAACTAAGGTTTTGTTGTGGTGATGGGGTTTTGGGGTTCTTTTTAAACAAAAGAGGGTCAGGACTAAATTCATACCACAGCCTTTTCTGTTTATAAAGCTAAAATTGGTCATCCCAAATATCCTTTTAGTTCCTCATGGAAACTTGAAGTAAGACCTGTTATTACAATGGCAAACAAGCTTGCTGCTATCCTAGAAAGCTATCAGTACCCCCTAATCGCAATGAAACAGGACCTAGAATATTTTGTTTTGCATTTAAACTTTGTATTCTTCTATTAAACTTTTACTGGTATGTTGAGGTAGCAGTATTAACAACAGTGTTTGCTGAATGAGGCAAGAAGTACCCACCTCTGCTACTGGTCGTCTCCTGACACGCTACAGGAGGGGTCTGAGCATGAAGTTATCTGCAGAAATCATTCAGTAGGCAAGTATTACTTTTCTGTCCAAACAAAAGCGGATGGTATCATTCTTTGCTGACTTCGTTCAAAACAGTCTGAACTGTTCACAGCACCATCAACTTAAAGAAAAAACTGTTAGGAAGCTGGTCAGGGTGTCACAGAGTACAGGCCAATTACCTCATAAGCTGAATTTGGTGCCCTAGAGCTGTTTTTCATGCACACGAACACTATTAACACTCAAATCTTTGTGAAAAGCATTAAGTTGAGGCATGTGGTTAAGATAAAATTTGCTTTTGACTGTCCAAATATTTACTCAAATATTTCTATTACATGCCCAACACTACCGACAAAAGGCACTGCGATTCTTCTCACAGTGAGAACTATGTTGAAGAAAGGCCACAGGAATTATATTGATTCTGGCTGGTTTTGTCTGTAGTAACTGCTGTTCACTAGCAGCAAAAGCAGATGGAAACTTTGGGGAAGAGAAGTGAACATGGATGCTCACACTACTCTTGCATCTCTTCTGGAGATGTGGATGCAGTCAGCAAAAGGAAGTAAATTTAGAGAGATACCTTTGCTCAGTCCAGAAATCAGCCCTGCTGCCCTTCCCAGAACCAGTGTCTCCCCTTTAACAGTGTTACTCATATATAAAAAAATAACCCTGATTATCCTTGAAAGGTAATTTGCAGGATGAACGGGTGGTGGAATAGGTTGCATAGTTCACAATGTACTAAAGTTCCATGCAAGGAAACAGCAGCAGTTTGCATTAGCAAAGCTTTACCCAGCAACCTGCAGCTGTGTTGGCACTCTACCAGGTAGGTGCTACTGTGACTAGACAGGCTCATTGTTCCTGTGGAAATAGATGTTCTCCCATGCAGTGAGGTGTCTTGAACAGAAGAATCTCCAGAGATTGAGGATTACCCCTTGGTCAAAGGGATTCTCCAACTCAGAGTGTCGCAGATAGGAGATGCGATGGTGTGACATGAATTCCCAGGTGGTGGTGTTGCATGAGATCAGATAGAGGTGCGAAATAAGCAGCAGAAGGACAACAATGGTGAATATGACTATCAGGAGGAAGGACATGAGGAGGAAAATGTTGTGCTGCAGCCAGTCCCAGGACTGTTCAAAGTAGAGGCCTGACCTTTCAATTCAAAGAAAAATAAGTCAATGGTTAAAGATGTAGAACTAGTTACATAAGCCAAGCAAACTTGATGGCACATTTAAGTTTGATTCAAAACTAGTGAGCTTCTGATAGTCATGGACTACAGAAAGTTAATGTTCTACAAACTCTTATGGAGACTGCACCAGTAGTGACTTAGATTCTAAGACGTTTAAAAGATGCTGGTTCCCCTGACAGCTCTAAGAAACAATCATCTTCAGTTAACTCCTCTCCTGAACAGGCGTACAGCTGAAACCCCACTGGAGCTTCCAGTACTTTGATTTGTAAACAAAGATCATATTACAGTAACTGAAGCAAAATTAGTTAGCTTTTTTACTGTTGTTAATTCTGTTAATTTAAGTTTAAAACAAAAATGAACAATGAAACCAAAGTTACGAGACTCTGCTCAACTATTGATCAGCTGTGTTGACCCTCGGAAGAACTGATCTCCAGGGTGCAAAAGAGGGTGAAGATACAAAGCCAATCCAGTCACTGCAGTAAACTCTTCAGTGGGGCTTCAGGAGCACCAAAACTTTTAGCCAGCTCAGAGATCCAAGTGCTGATTCCAGACCTTACCAAGCAACATGACCTCCCCACAGCAGAACTACAAGCTGCACGCTCAAGTAGGCTATGAAGAGGGGGTGATTCTTCTCTCCTACACAGTTCTCAATCCAGGGGCAGTGATGGTCATAACGCCGTACACAGTGTTGGCACAGCTGGCAGTGCTTAGCTCGCATTGGTTGCTGCAAAACAAAACCCAAACAAACACTAGCAATAGTGCACTGCTGTTCGACTCCCTGTTCGGTGGAAGAGAGCACCATGCTATACCATCTTCCTCCCCAACAGTACTGTCCCAAAAGCACTCCATATTCATAGAATCATAGATGGGGTTGGGTGGGAAGAGACCTTAAAGATCACCTCATTCCAACCCACCTACCCAGGCCAGGGACACATCCCACTAGACCAGGTTGCTCAACCCAGTCTATGTTATGTTAGTCTATGTTATATTGAGGTAACAGCACAACATAAACATTCCTAAGGCAGCTGAAGGGGATCAGGATTCCCCTGGTACACGCCCAAATGAGTGAGATTCAAATTAAACAACTCTTCCACACTACTTCTATCTATACATTTTCTTTATTATCTACCTACTTATAGGAAGTCCAGTGTGCAAAGAAGGGAGACAGAGCCAATTGGTCTATTCAGGAAAGCAAGAGCAGAGTGCAGAGGTGAAAAACTAGGACCACAGCTATTGAAGAAAGTGGACAGGGATGGGATGTCTTTACAGGACTGCCTAGAGGAAGAAGTGTCTCTACTTGTGTGTGAATACAAGATACTTGCACAGGAAAGCAGCTCACGTACCAGGAATAAAAAAGATGAAAGACCTGGCTCAGGAAAGTAGCGTGAGTGTGCCTCCTAGGATTGGTTCCCTGAAGCGTATATATGTTTTGCCTGCTTTTCCTCTTGCAATAAGCTCACTTCTCCTGGTAGATATTCTTCAGGAATTTATGAAAGCTGGGATAATGCTTGATTTTATTAAACTGATAAGGATTGCTCTGAAAGGCTTTAGGCAAACTGTTTTAAGAGATAATTTAAATGCTCTAATTTTTCTTCGTGCTTTTACAATTCAGGCTAATGTTTTGTTGTTTTTAGGCCTCTGAGCAAGCTCACTGCTACAAGCAGTTCTTATTTGTCACGCTGAACTACTTTCCTGACTCTCTATCAAGACATCTTCAAAATAACCTTTTTGACAATACTGTAAGGTCTGACTGACATGGTAGTGAGAATGTAGAATACATTTTTCCCACGGCAAAAGAAGATTCTTGTTTCTATGAATTAGCAGGGACTTGTTCCAACCTGGGAAAACTAGTATACATGCCAATGTCCATCACTACTACATCTTTACCTACGCAATTCATTTGGATCACTTTCCAATTCAGGACTGTATCTGAATTCAATTTGCTAGCTGTATTTACTTTTTCTGTGAGTTTTTTAGGAGGAGAGTGACCCTTTGACAGAATTAATCAGATCTGCCGTGCCTCCCAACCACTGAGCAGCGAGCAGCAGTGACAGAGCAGAAAAACAAAGGCAACAGCAGCTCAGCAAAGATGTTGCCAAGAAATGTAAGCTTGCAAATCACTGATCCCATTCTCTTCTAGTGTGTTATGAATGCCTACCTTCACCATGCAGTAACCACAACGACGCATCTTAATATTGCTTGGAACCTGGGGTATCACCATGCTTTGTTCCTCAATATTGCCTGCCTGCAAAATAGAGACAGGGAGTGAGTGACTAAGGAGTTTTCGTGTGCTGCTGTCTGAAGTATAGTAGCTATTAGCCCACTTGGTGTGACTGAGCTGTCTGGATCCTTTACACAGTGCTGGCTATCTCTGGCAGTAGGAAAGTTAAAATAATTCCTCAGAATTCCTACAGAAGTTGCTATATAAATACTATGGCATGAAATTTCATTGCAGACAGTTAAGGTACAATGAGAGAGAACAAGCTACTGTAACTATAGAAAGAACGTTTGCACAGAGGCAGAAATAACTGTGGAAAAGATACCACACCGATGCCAGCGCTACACTTTGGGACAAAAATAAACAAGGTTGGATTTCACTTCCAAATACAATAATGATATCTTTTCAGTATAAGCAGTGCTACTTATTCGTAACAGCCAACATTTATATTAATGATGGATGGTTAAAATCGATAATGTGCTGTCTCTTTTGTCGTACACAATCTGTAAGGCAGTGAACCAGGAGTAGCTTACCTCTCAGTTACTGTAACTTTGCACCTCCACTTACCTCACTCTGTTGTTTGAGTATGTGTCCTCTGAGAGGGCAACAAATCTATAAACAGTTTGATAAATAGAGTTGCAGAGAGCACTTTCTTCCAAGTTTGCCATTCACTTTGGGGTTTTTTGCACTTAGCGGTGGTTAGCATAACATAGGTCGTACATATGTTCCATAGGGTACTGCGGCCTCTGATGCAAGAGAGGACTTACGCTCAAATGGCACTTACAATGGGAGAGTGGTGTAAAATAATACACAGTTCAGTCTGTGAACCCTACTGCAGTTAAAAGAGTATGAATCAGACTGCCTGGCCTAATCTCCAAGGGTCTGTGTACGCTTCCTTTGTGCCAACTGCAACAGAAACTGTTCCAGACTGGTTTTATTTAGCAGATTGGGAAAAAGAAAAAAAAAAAGCCTATAGATTTTATAGCCTCACCACTTTCTTCCACTGATGAAGTGATATACCTTCACTTCCTCTTCAGACTTAACAAAACCAGGATCCATCAGAGACACCTTAAAGTACAGCAGTACAGAGCACAACACCAGTAAGACGAAGGTCAGTGGCTGCAGCAGCTCTCCGCGCTCCTCTTGCTTTTGCAGATCTGAAGAGCACCCCAAAAAGAGACAGCGGTAGTTCCTTGTGAAACGTTTGGGTTTTTCTCTCTGGCCTTAACCAAGGGGTCCCGCGTCTTGGGGAAGGGGGACGGGGAGAACACCGCGCGGGGTGAGACGGTGAGGAGCGGGCCACGGACGGGGCTCCCGAGCGCCCCACAGCCCTCAGGGCACCCCCGGGACCGGGCGAACACCCGTGTTTCCCCCCCGCCCCGCTCGGGCGCAGGCGGCCGGTACAGCCCGA